GGGCCGCCGCGTGGGGGCCTGGCGAGCTGTAGACTGAGCCCTCCCTGTGTGTGGGGGTGAGGGCCGGGGGGCTGGCGGAGGGCTGGGCGAGGAAAGGCAGCGACGACCTTGGTGCCCCTCTAGGTGCGGAGCCCAGCCCCGCCCGAGACTCCTGGGCCTTCTCCGTGAGCCTGGGGGAGCTCAAGTCCATCCGCCGGTCCAAGCCGGGCCTCAGCTGGGCCTACCTGGTCCTGGTGACCCAGGCCGGAGGCTCCCTGCCCGCCTTGCACTTCCACCGCGGGGGCACCCGTGCCCTGCTCCGAGTCCTCAGCCACTACCTGCTCTTGGCCAGGTGCGCCTCACCTGCCGTCCCGTGCACCAGGGCCAGCAGGGGACCCTCCGGGGCTGGGGGCGGCCGTGGCGCTAACTTCAGCCTCACGTCTGGGTTCATTTCCACAGAGCCGGTCTCGGGAAGCTCAGCGTGTTGCTTTTTTCCCTGCTTGCCAGTCTGGGGCATCAGAGCGCCTCTCGGGGCCAGGGGCCCCCTGTGGGTGGGGGCGGGCTGTCCCAGGGCCGTCAGGAGCCCGACTGGACGGGAGCCAGCGTGTGCGGGGAGGCCCCGGGCCAGTCTGGGGCATCAGAGCGCCTCTCGGGGCCAGGGGCCCCCTGTGGGTGGGGGCGGGGTGTCCCAGGGCCGTCAGGAGCCCGACTGGACGGGAGCCAGCGTGTGCGGGGAGGCCCCGGGCCCCACCGCTGTGTCCCCCCAGCTCCCCGCAGGACTCCCGCCTCTACCTGGTCTTCCCCCACGACTCCTCCGCCCTCTCCAACTCCTTCCACCACCTCCAGCTCTTCGACCAGGACAGCTCCAACGTGGTGTCCGTGAGTGCCCCGCGCCCCTGGCCGCTGAGGGGAGGGCCGGTGCCGTGGCGGCGGGGAGCCCTGAGCGCCCTCTCCCCGCAGCGCTTTCTCCAGGACCCCTACTCCACCACCTTCAGCAGCTTCTCCCGCGTCACCAACTTCTTCCGGGGAGCCCTGCAGCCCCACCCAGAGGGGGTCTCCCCTGACTTGCCTCCGCCCCCCGACGACGAGCCGGAGCCTGGCTTTGAGGTCATCTCTTGTGTGAGTAGCGGGACCCCTGCTTTTGCCTCTGGCCTGCGTCTCCCTCAGCCTCAGTCTCCTCTTTGGAAAGGGGGGTGCTGGCGGCCCCACCCTCCTCAGGCTGCCTGAGCTGCTTGCGGCCCGCTCTTAGGCCAGAGGCCCAGTCAGCCGGGGGCGGGGACACGCCCCGCCCGGGCCTCAGCGGTCCCTGGAGCTGAGAAGGGCTGGGGTTCACTTGCCTGGTGCCCCCAGGTGGAGCTGGGGCCGCGGCCGGCCGTGGAGCGGACACCTCCGGTCACGGAGGAGGAGTGGGCCCGCCACGTGGGCCCCGAGGGCCGCCTGCAGCAGGTCCCCGAGCTGAAGGCCCGCATCTTCTCAGGGGTGAGGCGACGATGGGGGCAGTGTGCAGGGCTGGGGGGGTGGGGGGCCCCCACCTTGCTGCTGACTCCCGCCCCCAGGGCCTGAGCCCCGGCCTGAGGCGGGAGGCCTGGAAGTTCCTCCTGGGCTACCTGAGCTGGGAGCAGTCGGCCGAGGAGCACAAGGCCCTCGTGCGCAAGAAGACGTGAGTTGGCGCCG